AGAGCATCCGGTTTGGTCGCATTCACGCCCACAGCGCTAACCCGGACCGAGAAGCGGGCACCGCTCTTCTGTCGTCGCTCCTGTATGCCCTTGTACAGCCAGGCAATGGCACAGGCCGCTGCGCCCAGAGCGCCAGCTCCCAGCTCGCCCAGCACCGTCTGCGTTTGCCCCGTGCCTGGATAGCCCATGGCCAGCAGACAGCCATCGGAGCCCTCCAGCACGGCGGGTATTACTTCGCTTAAGGCCGCCGCACAGACGTCCGACTGGAAGAGAGATAAATAGCTATTCAGTCGGGTTGTCGCAGTCAAGATGCCGCAGACTCTTCCATTCAAAAGGGAATATAGAAAATGATAGACAGAAGTCGGATAGGGTATTCTTGACTTAATAAAGACCACAAAACTTGGATAACTTTATGATATGGTTGGAGGTTCCGCTCGAGATAGGCATAGGTTAGATAGAGGTCGACTAGCTTTATTCGATATCTGGGCATACAAATGTATGCCTGGTTTTATCAAAATATGTTTAGAAAATATGGATGAAATCAGTTTATATATAATGGAATTGAATTATTATATATTGGAATAGCCTGAGAAAGAAATGTTCATTTATCCATTCCACCTATTTCGGAACTATTGAATTAACTTTGTGTCATATGTTATATGTATGCTGGATATATTTCTTTTTTAAAACTGTTCCATAATTCATCAAACTCTTTAACGGAAGCTTGATTGAAATGGAGCTTGAAGCCGATCGGGGCTTAAACAGAAAAGTTTTAATAAATCGTGTGTATGGAATATTTCCAAGCTCCATCTTTGAGATTGAGCTGCTGAATACAAGTCAGTCAGTCAGTCAATCAATCAGTTAGTTAAGCAGTCAGTCAATCAGACAGGCAAGCAGTCTGTATTTAGTTAGTCTCGAACATAAGTTTTATTAAAACGGATACAGAGCAGATTCATATTGGGCAGTGTATAAAAGATTTTATATTATGTTGATCCGAAGTCAATCAATCAATATCAATCAATCAATAGATAATCAATAATCAATCAATAGAATAATCTTGAAGAAAGTTTACAGCCTTACAGGAATCATTTCTTAAAATGATTTTAATATATGAACTTTATTTATGTTAATCTAAGTTGAAAGGAGAATTCCGTGAATTGAAATGTGTTTGATAAAGCGTAAAGCATTTTCAGTCTACTTCAAATTCTAAGAATTCCATTTTATATGATTTAAGATAGAGTTAAGTAACTTTGAAACAACTTCTTGCAACTTCTCCTTTTATACCTTACACCTGTATTTTGTATCGGAATCAGCAGGTGTTAGCCTCAGGTATCTTGTCTAACTTCTCAACAAGAATCTGTTCCAGGCTTTAATTTAGCTGAAAGTTGTGTCTTCTAGGCTTATTTTAGCTCTTCGATTTGGATTCTTCCAGAAGAGTTATGTTCTAGATATCATTGGCTCACCTGTTTATCCTCGGCGGTAAATAAATTATCGAATGCAAACATCTTGGGCGCTGCCACCATGGGCGCTCGCTCCTGGGCCTGGGGTGCACAGACGTTCTTTGGATCGGTCAGTGTCACCTGCCGTTTCTTCTTGTCCAGCGACATGAAGTCGGGCTCGTTGGCGCTGTCCGCCCTGTCGGCGACGCGCAGCATGACTTTGACCTTGCCAACGCCATAGCATTCCCGGCTGGCGAGGCGTCGCGCCAGGCCCGGCGGCATTGCCGGCGGCGCACGCTGCAGTGCACCACAGAAGCCGCCATTCCGTGGAATGGCATTGTTCATGGCTGCGGTTGAATGTCGTCCACGGTTCTCGATTTCCATGGCTATGGAAGATTCTGGTTTCTGGTTATGTTTTGCGGAAGCACTTGGGTTTCCTTCAGAAGCGGCAAGACATAAACGGAGCAGACGAAAGAGAAACGCAGCGAGTTAATAAGGATCCATCGAGCTGTGCCCAGTTCCCTGGGCCACATATAAACTCCTCGGCACACGCAGTTGCTGTCATAAATTGTGATTTTTTGGGCCAAAAAGGGACAACGCACTGGATGCTTGCGTCCTCTATGGTAAATGGCCATAACACTTTCCCTTTACGGTTATGGGCATCTGTTTATTGGGCATATGCTTCACAGACACTCGCACACTATCGCACTCACTCATGTTTCACTGAGTTTTCCGGTCTGGGTTTTTATTCACTTGTAGCATCGTCCAGCTTGAGAGGCGAGCCATATTTTATCTATTTACGGTGCTTTGGGTTTTATTTCACTGAAATTTCCCCTGCCGAAAGCAGCATTAAGTAAGGAGTTTTTCTTTATTTTATGTTTATTCACAATTATATCAAGTATTTGGCTTTATCATGAAGTTGAGTTGAGTTTTATGACTTGCGAGTTTGAAGTTTTCGAAATTTAAGAGCTTTTCTTTTAAAATGGGCAACACTTTTATAGCACTGCAGGGTAAGATGGGGGCTATCAAAACAATGAAAACGTGACATTTGGCACGCTTTGGTTTTTATTAAGATATAATTTCGCTTGAGCTATATCATTTTGGGCATAAGTTTCTATAACCAATAAAACTTATTCTGTTACTAATAAAGCTTATTCTGGTTAAGTGTATCTTGTGACATTTATGTTTTCTGTGTGGGATATTTTTGAAGCTAAGAACTCAGACTTTGATACGAAATATTATCAGAGGGTGCCTGTCATGTCATCTTGATTCAAGGAATATATCATTTAAGGTTCTTTAACTTTTAGCTAATACACAATTATGAAAATTGGTTCTTAAAAAAAGTTACTATTTAAAGTTAAGTTAAATAACTTTCAGTTAACGTTGAGTCGTTTACTTAATTTGACTTTACTTTAAGTCAGGGATTGTCTTCTAGACATGTCAACTTGGAGTTGGGGGCAGCAGCTTGATTATTATCGTGATGCGGATTCAAATAAGGAACGTGACATTTTTTGCAACATCTTTTCATTAATATTGTGTCCCTTTTGGTGGCACGTTCCCTATTGTGAATGACTGGCAAGTTGACGTTAACGTTAACGTCAACTTCAACTTCATTTTTCAGACGTCGCGCACCTGCCACTAACTTCTTTAGGTGTTCCACCTTTTGAGCTTTTGGCTTTTCACACAAATCGATTGGCAATGCCTTCTAATTGTACGCAACAACAACAGAGGTGCGCGGGGCTGAGCGGGAGTGGGAGCGGTGGGGGGGGGGGGTTAAGAATGCCATGGCATTGTATAGGCAACAATATTAGCACAACACCACACACACACACAGCGCACACACATACACGGCACACAAGCACACACACACACAGACAGAGCGCGCACACAAACCCTTTTTTTATGACTGGCAATTTCTGGTTGTTGATTTCATCTTTGGCTGCAACGCTTTGGCTTCTTCGATTTTGATATACATGATTTATTTAAGCTTGATTCTTTTAGCTCCGGCTCTAACGAAAATACATATTCAATTCATGAGTAACACACACAACTCGCGACGCGAACGCCAGCCGCATGTCCGTCTGCGTTGACATTACAATCGCAACTGAACACAGGACGGCGCTTTAATGCTTGGCAAGAGCTGCCGCCGCCGCCGCCAGACGCTCTTTATGCTGGCACGCGGCGCTTGCGCGACAGAACAGAACTGAGAGAGCGTGAGAGAAAGAGAGCGCGCTTGACACTCACTGGTCGCTTGCAGCTGGCAATGCTGTGGCTCGGCGTTTTGGGGTTGGACGACTTTCGCTTTTGGGCTTTAAGAGAATGCAGGCGGCTTGCTCGCTCTCTTTTGAACAAGTGCCGTTAGCCAGGCACAGGTAAACAAAATCAGCGAGTCTAAAACAAAAGGAACAACGCAAATGATGTTTATATTGTAAAAAAACAAAAACAAAAAAAAAAATGGAAAACAACAAAAGAGGAGCAGAAAGCACGCACACAGACACTCACGCTGATAGTTGAGGAGCTGAAGCGTCACTTAAGTGTTTGCCAGGCACAGAAGTGGATTGAGGGGTCCGTCGAGGGGAAAGGGGGGAGTCAAAATGCAAACGATGTGTTTTAAGTTCGCTTACATTTGACAGGCCGAGTAGTAGTCGTTGAGTATGAGGGTGTGTGTCTATGTGTGTGTCTGTGTGTGTGTGTTTAAAAGCATCTATGGATGTATTCGGTTGGACTTTGAACAGGATACGTGTATATGCACAGAGACAGGAGCAGGCTAAAGCAGTTAAAAGTGTGCTGACAATGTCTCAATTAAAATTGCAAGTTGAAGTAAGCTCTTAACTATGCGAGCAAATGTTTACCATTTGTGTGGGAGGGGGGAGTAAACAACAAATATTTGTTTACCTAAGAGCTAAATACATTTCAGTTTTTAAGGCAACGCATTTGGAAATTATGCATAGTTATTATTCTTGTTTATTTCTGTTTTGATTTTAGTTTAGAGTTAAGAAACTGAAGCTTAAAAGCGACTTTGTAACAACTCTTATGCGCTGCTGGCAATGCTCTGAAAATTCCGTTACCATTTGCATAATGTGGCAACTCTGTTTTGCAGCAATTCAAAACTACAGTTGACAGAACTGAAATATATGCATATATTTGAAAGTCTTTGTGCATTATGAAAGACAAATAAATTCCTCAATTTGTTAATATGTTAGTATATATCTTTCAATCCATCAATGTCCGTAAATATGCCAATACATATTTCTATCAATCCATCAATACGCAAACCTGTCAATCCAGAATAGCGTACATCTTTCAATTTGTAAATCCATCAATTTCCCAAGCTGCCATTCGATCAATACATCAATCTGGCAGTCCTTCAATCCTGTTATTCCCATATCTGTGAATTTGTCTATCTCTCAATCAATAAGTTCTTTCAATCCGTCTATTCTCACGGATATCCACAAATTGAATGGTAAAACTTCTTGAATGCTTTAATGCACAGAATATTTACAAATAATTCAATAATAAATCTTTGAAATTTTCTAAGAGTTTTTTAAACTTTTATTTCGCTTTTTCCATACTTTTTTACATATGCAATAATAAATTTGAGTATCATTCGTTTTTTTTTTTTCGTTTTCGCATTATCTTCTTCGGGCTCAACAACAACAATTTACTGAAATATTTGTAGACAATATTTGCCTAGTCAAAATGCATGCATATCGTATGTATATCGTGTATATATCGTATATATATCGTGTATATATCGTATGTATCTTGTAGTTAAGGCTAGTCGAAAGTGTGAAGATATTCGTCGTATATATAACGCATGTGCTTAAAGAACTATGTATACACTTAAGATTAGGCAAACAATTTGAAACAAACAGCCTATGCGGAGAATGTTTAGAGGTAAAAATTCCATAAGAAACAACAACAATGACGAGGGGTACAGGGTATATGATAAATGGGCATGTTCGTTGATCGTAAACTTTGTCACACGTTAAGTTGATTTTTTTTTTGACATTTTTTTTTTTTGCGTAAAAAAAACAAAAAACCAGAAAGTGAGGGAATATAACCATGAGATTGGATTGGTTGCTGGATGAACTGCATCTAGTGAGAGGGTGCGCCATAGGAGCTGCTGGGCGCCGAGGGGGCTGGCGGTGCGGCGGGCGCACCATATTCCGAGGGCGGGGCAATACTGTTCGGATAGGGACCGGTCTCCTCCTTCTGGGTCTTGTAGCGAATAAAGTAGACCTCGGGCTTGCTGGGCTGCGTGGGCGCCGGCGTCGGTATAACAATATCTGGCTGCTCCTCGGGCTTCTTGACTAGCACATAGACCAATGTCTTCTCCTCGTTCTGCGGGAACTGCGGAATGATCGGGGCAGTCGGTGCTGGCGGCGACGGCGCCTTGATGAACACGATCTTGTAATGCTTCTGCGGCGGCGGCACATACAGAGGTTTTCTGTGTGGGAGAAAGGAGAAGGGTTTCACTTACGTAAGCTTTGTCTAGGCAAAATGATCGACCCACAAAAAAAAAAAAAAAAGATATAGAGCGCGAGCAGCTGATGAAAATAATCATAAACCAAAACTTGTTTATCTGGCCAATAACAAGCTGTCACAATTGCCGCCCACAGGTCTGCCCGGGCCGGCTGGGCACTTATATAAATTGGTCTACTCTCTATGGTAATTGTGCTCCCTCCTGGCCCCTCCCTTGTCCCCTTTCCGAGTGCAATAATTAGCTTGGAAATGCTACGAATAATGCAGCAGAAGTAAAACGCGGCTTAGGTAACATCTTAGTCACGCTTTGGCTGTCTTCATCACCATATCTCTTCCCCCGGTAATTAACAGAAGGCAGTGACAAGCCGCATGGAGCAGCAGGGAGAACGAGGGGGGTATAGTTACGCTTTTGGGCCCCGTTTTAATGGGTTGTATTAAATAATTTTTCCTTGTAACAGACAAAATGTGGCACATGGAAAAACATTTAAATTAAAACCCGGTACTCCCTTCACGAAATGATAATGCAAAAAGAAAAAATAAAAAACCTCCATTTGGCAATCGTGTTGTGGAGTGCGGGAGTGGAGTGGGCAGGGGGAAGGGTGGGGCCCTGAGCTGGATTAGATGATTAACGTTCATGTCTTGCAATTTTTAACTCTTGTAGATGCCAACTCAGATATTAAACTAAGTACTAAAGCACTTAGTTACAGCTGTCTGTGTCTGGCGACACAGTCCATGAATTGTGGGAGAATTTTCATAATTGTCTGGCACAGCTTACATATATCTGCACAAACTTACATATATCTGCAGAGTGCAAACATATATGTATATACAGACACAATCATAACTGTATCTACACACGACAGATCATTTTGCAATTACGTGTAATCGCGGTATCAGCATAAACAAACAACTTGGCCCGTTTGTGGGAATCAACTGGCATCCACAATCTGTAAAACTGTCGAAAACTTGGCTTGATTGAAGTTGGGGGAAAACTATTCATATAAAGTGCACAGACATTAAAAAAAAAAATGATGGGAATTAAATTCTGAAAAATGCTCAAAATTTTGGGAAAATATGCTGCTAGAGCTGGGAAAGTTCCTATATTTTCGAAAACTTGAAGGTTTATTGAAAATGTTTGCAACTGAAGTTGGTCAGGGAATACAGTCGAACTTGAAGGATCTAGCTGCGTTTATATAGTTTAAAAATTACATAGCTATTGCAACATTTTGCAACACTTAAAGAAACGGTTTTTATGCCATATATTGTAGATCAATTCACCACAAAGGATAATATTAAAAAACATATACTGGGCTTGTGTTTAAAGTATCTAGCTTTGTGTATCTTTTTCTTTCCAATAAAAAAAATTTTTTTTTTGGTATATGGGTAAAAATTGAAGGAGTTTCTAAAAATAACTTGCACTTAAAGATAACAAAAAAACCCAGACAAATAAAAATAGAAAATTTTACAGTTAATCAAACACACTCCAACTATTTGTATTGGGAGTTAAGTAAATCCTTGCCCTACTTTCTTGTTAAGGATCCTCGTTGCTAGCTACGAATTCTTTTAAGAATTGCCCTGAGCGCCTGGTACTCTGCTCTGAACCCAAAATTTCAAGGAGCTTCTAAAATTATTTTGCAATTGACGATAAAATGAAGACGCAAACAAATATGTAGATTTCACATGAGAAAATATTTTTTAATAGATCTCAACTATTTGTATTCAAAATAACTGTCGATAGAACGCAACCCACTGAGATGAGTAAATCCCTATCCTACTTTCTTGTTAAGGATTCTCGTAGCTTATGTTTTTTTTTAGATAATTCCCATTTATCACACTGCCTTGCACTCACCTGGGCGCCTGGTACTCTGGCTCTGGTGGGGGCACATGGACATAGACATGCTTGTGCACCACCGGCGGCTGCTGTGGCGGACCATATTGTGGGGCGGGTGCGCCGTAGCCGCCGCTGGGACCGCTCGGCTGATAGCTGCTCGACGGCGGGGCGCTGTACGTGTCACGCGGCGGCTCCGGGCGAGCGGCCACAAGCGCTGCGCTGGCCAAGACGACCACTAACTGCAGCACATGGAAACATAGAACAGATGCGAAAAAGAGGTGGGATCAGCTTAGAGCACACACACACACACACACACACACGCGTTGACATACCACACAACTGGGCTGCATAGTGCTTAATGGAGAGTGTGCGTCTGTGAAGATCGTTAAATATCCGTTTTAAATGGAATTTCGAGACTTGTTTAATTCGCTGGAGCTTGTTCGACGCGGAACCTCTTACACTGACTGCATGCCACAACGATTGTTGCAGTTGCTTTTATAGTGCCGCTCCGTGGCGAGAAATAAAAATTAAGTAAAAATCAAGACAGCGACGAAAACGACGACGACGGCGACGGCGTCGGCAGCGACGTTAGCAGCAGCCGCAGTCGCACCAGTTGGCAAGAGCGCATAACCATGAAGAAATTGAAATGAATAAAACGTCGGCAGCAGCAACAACAAGCAAAACAGAAATTACAACAACAACAACAGCAAGAGCAGCAGTAGCAAAAATATCAAAAATATCAAAAACAACAACAACAAGAGCAGCAGCAGCAGCTGGCAAGTCATCTGGGCCTGCGGGAAACTGAAGCTTGCGCTGCCGCTGCCGCCGCTCCTAGCTGCGACTGTGACGCCGACTGCGACTGCAACAGCAACAGCAACAGCAGCATGGGCAGCAGCAGCGACAGCAGCAGCAGCAGCGACAGCAGCAGCAGCAGCATGTTTGTTGCTGACCGTTTCTTAGTTTGCGGTTTTCCTTTTTAATTTTAACTGATTTAATACCCTCAACTCAGGTACCGAGTTGTTAACAGATAAAATGTCTAACAATTAAATTGGTTATTAGGTGCTTCAAATAGGTCATATAAGTATAATTGATTAGCATTTGCATATGATTCATAATAATATTTATATTATTCATAATATTCATAATTCTCACACTTTTGGGTCATAAGTAGGACACTTTTCTATGGTTATCCAGAAAATATACGAATATTTTTAGTTGGAGCTATTAAAAGTGTTTTTCTTTTACGTTTTTAGTATATATTTTAGATCGACTAATTTTGAGCGAATCGAACTCATAATATATATCTAATGCACATAATGCCAAATCCTATTTGCAAAGCTTAACCTGGCACAGGTAGGGTATTCATAGTTCTACGTGTTGATAATAGAGCTTGCGCTTTACTTCTTGGTTTCATTTCTTTTGTTTGTGGTATTTGTGGCCTGTTGTTGTATTTGTTACATTATTATTTTGATCATTTCGGCTTGGAGGATCGCATCATCCCGCATTGCCTGCTCGGATCGTGTGGCACGATTCACTTTCAATTTCAATGGATGTGGATTCACACACTGTTCAAAGAGGGGGGGGTGCGCGTTTTGGCTCTGATCTGGACTCAACTGGAACTGGACTTGGTTTGTTGCTTGGTCTTATTTCACATTTCTTCATGTCTTACGTCTCGTTCGCTCTCCCCCCTCCCCCTTTCCCACCCCATCCCCATTCCACTTCCATCTGCGCAATGCTAATAATGAGCTTCACGGTCTTGTTGGGATACCATCACCATCATCAGCTCCATCTTCATTTCCATTTTTCGGCCATAATGCAATAGTTGACTATGAATTTCTTTAATTTACTTTTATTTTTTTTTTATTTTTATTTTTATTTTTTTTTTTTTTTTTGTGGCTTATTCAATAATTTCGGGGCATCGTTTGTTGCCCGGCAATGACATTATTTGTATTCGTATTTTCCTCAACAGTCAAAAATATGATTAGCCACATAAAAAGTTACATTGTTTGTTTATTGTACACTTTTTTTTTCTCTTTTGTTTTTCTTTATTGGCGACTTTTCTTTTGGCCATGTCACGATCGGGCAATCTGATCGCTGCGCTTTAACTGGCTTCTGACAGTCGCTTTGGCCCGAGGTGTTGCCAAAATTGATATGCGCATAATCAATAAATGCCAATGGCTCGAATCCTGAGCCATTTTGCCACTCCTAGAGGGAGCCAAATGTAGCAGGCGTAGTAGGGAGTTGCGGGGTGGGATATTTTATTGCGTCTGCTGCTGTTGAAACTCTGCCCACCTTTCTGTGCTGCCGGAATTTGATGAAACGGCATAATCATTGGCAAGAGCCAACGATGAGGACGATGAGGCGACGATACCTGCAACTGGAACTTGCCAACTGCAACTGGTGTCGGGCACTGCAACTGGAACTGCGCCAACACACACACACACACACACACACACACACACACAACGCCAACTGTCACTTTTCCACAACGGCATCATTTATAATGCCGTTAGCCAAATGGCAAATGTTTTCCCATGTTTTTTTGTTTTTCGGCTGTTGATTTTGTTGTTCATCTGCGGCTCGCGCCGCATTTCCTCAATTTCCAAGGCGCGCTCATCTCTCACATCTCGCACATCTCTCACCGCATCATCATCATCATCATCCTCTTCATCTGCATCTCGGAACGAAGATTGCTGCTGGGCATCTGTTGTCTGGGTGTCTGAAACAGGTGCAGGCTCAAGCCACAAACAGCACAATGAAAAAATCGAATGCGATTAAGCAACAAGTCGATATTCAAATTAATGACAGCTTTAGTTTCAGATGCAGATTCTGTCTATGCAGATGCAATCGCTGTAAATTATGATATAGATAAGAGCAGCAAATTAATTGACAGTTTACATGACTAAACATTGATGAACAGATAGGCGCTGGGGTAGGATCAACAGGTTAATGTGAAGAGTTAAATAGAAATGAATAAAATGTATCTTATTAGTGATTAGTGAGAATCGCATAGAAGGGTGATATGTAAAATATTACTATCTATATCCATATCTATATCTATATCTATATCTATATCTATATCTATATCTATATCTATATCTATATCTATATCTATATCTATATCTATATCTATATCTATATCTATATCTATATCTATATCTATATCTATATCTATATCTATATCTATATCTATATCTATATCTATATCTATATCTATATCTATATCTATATCTATATCTATATCTATATCTATATCTATATCTATATCTATATCTATATCTATATCTATATCTATATCTATATCTATATCTATATCTATATCTATATCTATATCTATATCTATATCTATATCTATATCTATTTTTTTACCTATATCTTTATCTTTGTCTAACTCTCTCTAAGCGCATTACCAAAGTTTTGTTAACATGGTGTCAAGCCCCATGATTCTGAACTGTGCACCATCTGGCAAAACCATATTTCATCTTTAATCTTTCTGCTTTCTCCATTACACACGTATGCGCCATCATCATTTCCATCGACACCTTGCCATGCACACATACTAATTATTATTAAGTATCTTTTTGGGCTTTATGTAACAAAAAAGATATACATATATATATATATATATATAGAAATGAAGTAAGGCAAAAAACCAAAATGAATGAAGGCAAAAAAAAACCATTTAAATAATATTGTTTTTACATAAAAAACAATTAAAATGCGTTTACAAAAACGAAAACAGAAATTCAGCGACAGGCGAACGGAACTTTGGAGCTGGAACCGTTTAAGTGCGTGGGCACTTGTAAAGGTCCACAGACAGACAGACAGACAGACAGGCAGACAGATGCGGAGTATCTGTATCTGTATCTGTATCTGTAACTGATGGGCACGGCTCTGATGCGCGTCGTCGTCTTATTTTGGGGGCTGGATGGCAATCGCCACTTGTTAGTTTTAATTTGTCAAGAGTTGCACTTGAAGACATCGCCAAAGAAAGTAAATTGAGTTTTGCGCCAGTTGCAGGCATGTGAGACGTGCTGCGTAAAAGTATCTGCTAGCTAGCGTATCTCTCAGATACGGATACAGATGCATGCGTGTGCAGAGATGATGTAAAAATGATGTATTGCATAAGAGATTTACGCCGCCAACCCGGCAACCCGCTGCCCCCTCCCCACACCCCACTCCCCTCTCCATATCAGCAGTTAAAGATCTAATTAAAAAGCAGAAGAGACTCGCGCCAGCAGATTGCATTGAAAATGGTTTTTTCTTTTATTGTTTTCGATCATAAGGTAAACAACGATTAAGTTAACAATTAAATGTACATTTGTAGCTGTGTTTGTAGCGCATTAAAACGGGGCTGCATAATGCACATATATCTATATATATATATATGTATTTGGTATATATAATTTTAAGGTATATAGCGCCATTAAATGGAAAAGCATTCGGCGCTGAACTTGTAACTTGTGCCGCTTGGAGGCCAGGCCCCAGACCCCAAAACTACGCACAGAAATCCCAAAAACAAAACAAGCAGAAACAAAAAAATAACAAAGAAGAAGAAGAAGAAAAACTGCGTTATGGAAGCGTCGGCATTTTAATTTGTGGTAGTTGGGTAGTAATATGCTCATAATTTATATTTATTTGCCCAGCCTTGGGGCCCATTAAAAACACACCAGTTTTATGCTTTCAGGGACGGGGATTACATATTTACAATTGACTCTACTTCGCCTCGGTTAACATGCAACAGAATCTGGCAACCACAATACAAAGTTGAAAGAACATGTATACAGGAATATATCTATATATATCATTTTATAAATAATTTTAATTACTCAGCAACTCACACTTGTACAGTATATAGTGTATACATATATCATATATATATATATATATTTTTTTTTGATTTTTTCTTTTTGATTAATCGTAAAATTTTAAAAATTATTGTTCTTTTAATAGGAACTGTTAGGAGTTCTTTTGAGTTCAGTTTGCTTGCGCTCTAAAACCGTTGAGTTTTTGTCATTTTCTTTCGTTCCGGAATGTCAAAACAATCTGAAATGCCTATAAGAACAGAGCCAAAAGTTAGATCAACTTTCGTTTAATACATTTCCCTTAGGAATTTACTTGATTTGCTTTTTGCAGAATTTATTTTAATTTTAAACCGGCTGATTGTAAAAAGAACTCTGTTTCTGGTTCGAGCTGTTTATTACGTAGGTAACTTTTTAAAATTGATCTCAATTCGGAACCAGTTTGCTTTTAATTGATTTAAAATATCTTTAAAATTAGCTTTAACTTTGAAGTAGTTCGCTTTTAAAAACAGAGTAAAATGAACTCAGCTTTAAATAGGGTGGAATTATTTTTCACGAAAGTAGCTTTTAATGAAAGTACCTTTAACGTGGAAGAAGTTCTTTTAATTTAATTGAATTCTTTTTAAAATTTGGTTTAATTTATTTAGTTTCAATTTTGAACTGGTTCGCTTTTAATGTGCATGATTAAAATGAACTTTGAAATTGGTTCAAGAAAAAGCTTTAATTTGGAACCATTTGGCTTTTAATTGATAACTAACTGAAATAACTAACTTTGCAATTGGCTTAACTTAAAAATTGTTTCAATTTTGAGCTAGTTCGTAAAATTGCTCGCTTAAAATATGTGTGAGCTATTGTTTACAATGGTAGCTTTTAAAAATATCTTTAATTTAAAACCAGTTCAGTTTTGATTTTTTTAATTTAAAAATTACTTTTTGAAACCAGTTCGCTTTCAACTTACTAAACTTCTTCTTTTGGAACTAGTTCGCTCTTAATTGGCTGGCTTACGTAAATTTCTATTCAAATTGGAACCAGATCGTTTTCGTTAAAAAAATTTGGCATTTCAAATGGTTTTTTTGCATTCCTGGAATTTTTTTTCTCGATTTTTGTATTTATTTTTTGTTTGTAAGTTTTAATCGGGGTCGTCGCGTATGGTTTAATTGTTGGCGATTTGGGTCTTAGTAGCGCCCATAGCCGCCCTCGGTGTCAAGTGCGCCCATGGCGCCCAGCTTCTGGAGCCAGGCGGCATTCGAGCTGCCGCTGGCACGCTGAGCGGTCAGCGGATTGTTGGCCTCATTGTGCAGACGCATTTGGTGTGACTGTTGTTGTTGTTGCTGTGGATCCTCATTGCTCAACTCCAAAATCTGCAAACAAAAAGAGTTAAGCTTACAATTGCTGTTGCTGTTGTTGTTGTTGTTGTTTGTTATTGTTGTTATATGGCAGTTATTATTATTATTATTATCAGCGCGCAGTTGTTATTGTTGCGAAGCGCATCGTATCGCTGAAATTGTGAGCGGAGCGAAGTTTGTGAGTTTGTTAGCTATTTCAAAAATCTGTTGAAATCTTGGCTGTACTATATACAGGCCCAGCCGCCTGTTGTGTGTGGGAAGCATGGTCACAGGTTTTTGGCGGTTCATTAAATCGAATGAACCCTATTCATATACATATATATATATATATATATATTGTGTGTGTGTATATATATATCTGTAACACTCGGAGGCTGTGTGTGGCGACTCCGGCTGTGAGCTCTGATGACTGAAAATGTGTTAATGGGGGGTATTGTCGTGTAATTATCAGACGGTAACCTCTTTTTTTCGCCCTCGCCCCCCTCGGCGACCTGTTGCCAACTCTTTTGTTTTGGCGAACGATGTGTGAACATCGGCCAAAGACAAGAGAGAGAAAAACCTAAAACAATTTTGCGCCAGGTAATTATATTATTGCTAATTTAACAGATTGTTTTTTGAGTTGCGGCTCTCTCTCTCTCCCTCTCGCTCTCTCCCTCTCACTTGGCATCTCTTTCTCTTTCCTGCTCAGTTATTAATAACAACTGCAGAGTGCAGCGATTGCAGCTGGCCTAAACGTCGTTAGAGATATATCGTATAAGGAAGCAACAATCGCTGTTATCGCACAGCATCGCGGTTAGCAGGGTCTGTTTCCCCTCCCAACAACCTACTGCCCCCCCCCCCCCCTCGCCCCCTGCGACTGCCAGGCCCCTGGCATCTTCACATTTAGACAGTTTAATTTGAGAGTCGTCGTTAAGTGCAAAGTTATGTGATTGGATAAGGGTCTCTGGAATTGTCGTCATTGTTTCTCTCGTTGTTTTTGGTGGTGCGTTGTCAACGTGGAGGAGGGGTGTGTGGCAGCTGGGGGGAGTTGCCACACTTCCTCTTAATGGCCGGCGCACACGTTTGCCAAATAAATGCCCTTAAATATTGCTCTAAACGATTAACTATCAATGGCCTAGTCACATAATAATAATAATAATAATAACAACAATAATCAGCCGAATGCCATAATAAATAAACACACAACGCATTTTACTAAGGTCAGCTATAAATAATTTGTCAGAAAAGTATGGCTCGATTCAATATTTTATTAAATTTACCATGAAGTCTTTTTTTTTGTTAAAACATGCGAAATTCCATCAAATCATCGCGGCATTGTTTTTTTGCCCTTTTTTTTTTAAATTAAGCGCATATTTTGTTACTTTTATTTCGCGTGTCTGACCTTAGATTTGGTTTACTTTATTTATCAAATTAATATGTTATTATGATGTTTATATATAATTTCTGTTCGCTTCGATTATAATGCGTTTTTTGTGTGGTCAATTTATTTTTAGAAATGGGCCTAATAAATTTCATTCGTGCTGTGGTAAGAGCAGAGGAATAAATGGAAATATTTGACAGCGTCAAAATTTAATTTATTTAAGGCACTGAAAGTGAGAAAGTGTGGCATTAAAATAATCTATTAAATTTGCGCCCATTTTTTATATTTTGTTTTTTTTTTTTGGGCTAGTAAAAGTTGGGAATACTTTGCCCTTAAGTATATATATATGCATTGTTTAATTGCATTAATTATTAATTAGTGTTTAGATATTCAATTTGAGGCCAATCCATTTTGTTTCGGGACAATTCTTCTTCGTCTGCGTACAACTTCTTGACAACAACTTGACATTGACTGTCCAAAATTAACATCCAGGCATGTTGCTAACTGAATATTTCATTACGAAGTGCGAGCGGGAATTGTTTTATTATTATTTGCTTCATTGAATTTCTTGCCAGACAAAAGTGAAGTTTTATCGGATGTGACAGGCCGCGGCTAATTAGCCATAAGCTGAGCTGTTTGGCAACTCATGATCTGCTGGTTCAATGCATTACACTCATCTGACAAGTGGAATTTCCTTTGTATATTATTTTCTGCGTGACGTCGACAAAGTCAAAGTCAACCTTCGTCAGGGGCCGCAGCCGCAGCCGCAGCAGCTTTTTGCTATTTGACATTTGATTTTCCCTTCACGTTTTGCCGTATTTGATTCCATTTCGACTTTTTTCCTTGTCTTTTCTTTTACTTTTATTTTATATTTTTTTTTTGTATTTTTCTGCCAATGACGCTGGCGTCGCTGCTGCCTGTTGTCTGCTGTTGCTTGGCTCTTGTCCCTCTTGGCCAAAATCACTTTGTGCGCGTCTCACGTCAGCGGCTTATCGATTCGCAAGGGCCCTGACATGACTCAGACTCGGATGCAGGCGCCAACTCAAACTTCAAAGCGCAGATAGCGACAGGGAAAGAGATACACCAGAGAGAGAGAGAGAGAGAGACAGATAGAAAGGTGGTGGGGGAGTGCGAGAGAAAAACCCAAAGAAAATCGTAAAAAGCAAATCCACCCGGAAATACTAGACCCTCGAAAGTGAAGACAGTTCAAGAAATAAACTCCTAGATAGACTTTTGGGCCCCAGAGAGAGCCATAAACGGTACTGGAGACAAAGCCAACTACAGAAACAGAGACAGATCCAGATGCTGGGAGAGACCTCATAATTGGATATAAATATGGAAACATAGGCAGATTTAGCGGGGGATAAATATAGAGACAAGCCCCAAGACAGATCCCAAGACAAATTCAAAGACAGACACAAAATAAGACCAAGAGTCAAGCCTAAAAAGTTGACATATATAAGCTTGACTTGATGGACCAATAAACAGAGCAATAGACAGATCCATAGTTTGAATTCAGATCAACACATAGAGAAACTTAAAGACAGGTCCATAGACGAGTCTGAGGCATAGACGGAAAGCCATAACCCAAGGCGAAATTCTGGGATGACTCAGAGTCAGTCTTCCAGGCAAGCCCGCAGTCTAAGCCAAAATGAACTCTATGCTACCAGATTTGCAGGCAAACCAAGACAGGTGCCAAGACAGAATCACTGACCTGTCCAAAGACAGTTCAATCAACAGACCTAAAGCCAGCTGCAGGCACAGATCCAAAGACAGACCCAAGGACGTGCCCATAGACAGACAGTTTGGGCTCCAAGGCTTACCCCATATTTAGCTGGTAATTGTGCTGCAATTGCAGTTGCCGATGCTACACATAAGCTCAGCCAAACAGTTGCAGATGCAGTCTCTGCAGTTGCAGTTGCAGTTGCATTTGTTGTTGCAGTTGCAGCTGCGTCTAGAAATCGAGTGTGCTCAAATGATATGAAGCATCCACTAAATTGGCCCCCCGGTTGAGCAGCATTTTTGTGCTGCGGTTGCGAAAAAGAACAGGAAACTGCGCACAAAAAAAAATCAAAAAAAAAAATAATAATAATAATACAGAAAAAGAAGAAGAAGCAGTAAAGAAGCAGAGGCGAAAAAATGTGTTTTTATATAAAACTGTGCAGGTTGCTGGCAAAGATGAGAGCTCCAAGCGCAGCAGGTTGGCGATTGTAGCCGGGCAGGCTCTGTCGCTGTTGTTGTTGTTGTTCCCAGTTAAGATGACCAAATACAACAACTGCAACTGCAACAGCAACAGCAACAACAACAACATCTTGCGAAATATGTAAAATATTTGTGAAACGGTTGCAGACGCAGCCGAAAAATAAAAGAAGATACTTTTGTGGTCAGGAGCGGCGGTTATCTGTGCGTTGGCTTTTATCATTATTTTATCTTCGTTTTTATTTTATTTTTTGTCTTTTTTTTTTTACTGGTAACCCCATCTAGACCCATTGGCCTGGCATTGATTGGGCGCATGACGTAACCGGGTAACCCGCAACAACTGAGTTGGCCAAAACAAAAACACGCTGAAAAATAAAACCCCAATAATTGGCGACATAATTGCAACTTGATACCACGCTTTTGACTCTTTTCATTTAGTTAATTATATCGCCAAAAATAACACACCAAAAAGCAGAGCAGAGAAAAGACCAAACAAAAAAGGCAAGAAAGAACAGCTTAGCCGACAATTAAATGCCCTTTGCAAAGAAAGTGTTTCTTTAACCGACTTCTACATGATGTAATAGGGTTTAAAGCTGGCAGATTTTTTAAATGGGAATTACATAATATAGTTGCCTATTTTGTTACGATTTTATCAATATTTTATAAGCTTAGCTAAGTTTGATTCGGATATCTCGATAAACAAGAAACTCGGATAACAAATTATTCCGATTTGGGATTATGCCGAAATTCTTTTCCAGCATTTGCATAATATTCCAGCATCTGATATATATATAACCTGAACCCATTGAAAACGGACAAAAAGGGTTTATTTTTTATATAAAAGGAAGTAGCTCCGACTCCATAAAGAATATATATTCATGATTAGCTACATCGGTCTAGCCACGTCCATCTGTCTGTTCATCAGTCTGTTCGTCTGTCCGTCAATCCATCCGTCCGTCTCCATAAAATCGCCCTTCTATAGAGTTGTCCCACTTTATGGGTTCCAGGTTTTCTGCTCCTGTTACATAGCTCACCGCACAATTGTAATACCCTTTGTTAGGGCATGCAAATACGTAAGGGGCGCAGACACACACACTAATGCACATAAACAATGCTCTTTCGGGCTGGCTATCCACTTACGGCTGGAGCCGGTGGGCAGGCGCTTACCTGGAGCATCAGCTCGCGCAGCTTGTCCAATTCGTCGCCGTGCGACCTTGTCGGCAGGTATCGGCTCTCGCACGGCTGCGGCGGCACCAGCAGGAGCAGCAGCATCATCAGCGCCAGCAGCAGCGGCAGCGGCAGCGACAATTGCAACCTGTGTGACCGGGCCAAAGTGGGAGCCGTTGCCAAAGCCGGAGCCTCAGCCTGAGCCTGAGCCTGAACCTGAGCCTGATTCCTGTCGGCAGTCATGGTCATTATGTGGGCGTTCTGGTTTTTGTTGTTGTTGTTGTTGTCGACACAGGTGCGCCTGCAGGTGAATTGCTGTTGTTGTTATTTTAGTCTGCAAGCATATAAAAAAGCTGTGTGAATTTGTTGAAAAAATAAAGGCTCAAAGGATTTGCCTACGCAAACAAGTGAAAGCTTAGCCGAAAACAAAGAGCCGACTGCACAATACTCTGCTTTAATTGTTTGTAGAGATTAAATAGGAAAGTGTGTGCGACTGGGAGATACTCTATAATAAGAAGGAGTGCTCGACTGGGAGATACTCTCTGATAAGTAGGAATGCGCGACTGGGAGATACTCTCTAATAAGTATAAATGCTTGACTGGGAGATACTAATAAGTAGGAGTGCTACACTGGGAGTTACTCTCCAACCTGTACGATAATTTTTGCCTATTTTGTAGCTAAGCACTTTGTGTTTAAATTAAACAGACGAACGCTGCAGCCAGGCAATATGCTCTTCAGAGCTTTGAAAACAGAGCATCGCATGCTCTTGGTTTTTGCATAATATTTCTGCCTTTTCATTTGTTTGGCTAGCTTAAATATTATTAGCACATAATCAAAACGAATAGAATGCAATTTTATAATTTCCAATTAGGCGCTGACTCACTGTGCACAGGATTTGCGCTGTTGTAGTTGGGATTAGCTTTGCGTCACGAGCCTGTGCGTTTTTATTATCTAATATTTTTTTTTTTTTATATATAAGTATATATATTATTTTTTGCTCACACTCGTCCACGATGTGCCGAACTAGGATAACAATGTTGCTTTAAGCCAAGCTGCGTGCAGACATTTGTATTTATAGGCAAAGTGCGACCGCGGCTGAGATTTTAGTACCACTTTTGGCCCTGATGACAGAGCTCTGCTGCCAGGATATGACGTCCTACACATGCGCCACACACACACACACACACACACACACAGACAAACACACAGTTGCTCGCACACCCAAAAACCGAGCGAGTTACTTAACATGGTTGTTAGGGTATGCGTCTAACATTCTCTGACCAGTCGCCAATGCCGAATTCTTTCACATTTCGCATTACGTTTAAAGGACAAATGTGCGCGCGCAGAGGCAACAACAACAACAAGTAGAGGAAGTCGAGGGTGCTCGATCAGAAGATACCCTGTCTATCTCTATTGACAGACTGACAGACTGATTGATTGATTGACCAGTTCATTTATTACCGAACTGGCGACAAATTGATTGATTGACTTATTCATGATTGATTGAGTTATTGACCGACTCAGTCAATTGAATGAACTTATGATTGAGTGACTAACTAACTGATTGACAGACTGATTTAGCTGATTAATTGATTGATGGACTGGCAGACCCTTTGAGTAGCTTACTGATCGGCTGGTTGTCCGATTGATATGACTGACTGTCTGAGGGATTGGCTGACAGGTTTATTGACTGATTAACCCACTGAATGACTGATAGGACTGACTGACTGATTGATTATATGAGTGACTGACTCACTCACACACTGACTGACTAATTGAATGGTTTTACTGACTGAGTGATTTAATGAATGCCTGAAACATTGCTGGGCTGATTGATTGGTGCATTGACTGATTGATGGAGTGGTTGACTGACTGATTGATTGACTGATTGATTTAAGCATTGACTGTCTGAATGACATTTTGACTGGTTGACTGACTATTTGAATAATTGACTGATTGACTGGCTGACTGACCGACCGACAGATTGATTATTGATCAGCGCACTGCTCAAACTATGAAAGCTGAAAGGCTTAAACGTCCACACAGTAATCACCCTTTCTGGCATGTACCACACTTACACGTAACTGGGTAAAATTCAACAAGCAACGTTCGAATATAAAGCAAAGCTGATGGAGAGCAATTTTGTGCTTCACCCCAGAACACGATTGATTAATATTGACAATGATTGATATTAATGCAGGTATTTTTTCAATCACTTGCAAGACTCCTTTGGAGGTAAGAATGCTCTACAGGGTATAACAATGGCAGCAACAACAACGTGCATATCATTGACTTGGTATTTACGTATGCTATATACATATATATATATATAAGTTTGTGTGTGTGTGTGTGTGCGTGTGCCATTTCAGAGTATTGTCTGTTCTGTGGGCGTCAGCCTGGCAGAATCTGGTGAAATGTTTTCGCTAAGCAAATCTCATGGTTAACTCGCAATTGTTGTCGTTCTCGATGTTGTTGTTGTTGTTGTTGTTGATATCACTCTCGTTCTTATTGTTGTCGTCGTCGTCATGGCTGCATGATGTTGACATTGCCGGGCGTCAATAATGTATCTTCACTTCACTAACTAACTGGCCAGCAAACGCTGTTGTTGCTTCCCCTGGTTGCGGTTGTTGCTTGAGAAATGTTACCATTTGTATACGGCGCACGACTACAAGCCCCAAAATTTTTGATATAGCGCAGTTTTGTGTGGCCATTGCTGTGATTGAATACGTGCCGGGCATGGCCAATGCAAGACCAAGGGTTCTTTTTTTTACGACCATTCCGGACGAGAAGCGCAAAGGCATCTGCGGGTATCTACGCTGCGTGCGAGTGAATATGTTTTATTTTATTTATGAATCGCACTCAAATAAACGCTTTATGAAACCGTTAAAAAGAAAACGGGTACTCATAATATGGGAAAATTAAATGCTTGACTCGGACCACCATTTCAAGTACTTCAAAAAAAGCTTACTGCATTAAGCTTGAACTCAAATGCAAGCTCCCCACATCTCACACGAAAGCTCAGAGCTATGGCACCCGGCCAAAGCTTGTCGAGTCATCTTAGCCCTAAGCTAGCTTTAAGCATAGCCCGGCTTACTGGTTCGTTTCCCGGACAACTTTTTTCTGTTTGGGTGAAAATCCCGAAATAAAGTAGATTTTGGCCTGACGCGATGTGATGTGAATGCATTATGATACTTATAATGAAATCACATGATATCGTATAATATGATTTGAGCTGAGATTATTTCATATATGATTCGAGCAGAGATGATTTGGTATAATAATATAATATATAGGATTTTTATTATATGCCACAATAACCTAAATGTTCAGAACTGGCATTATGTCATTATAAATGTAGCTTTCAATAGACAAGGCATAATATAACTGGGCATTAGCTAACCAATTCATTTAGGTACATCAAAAGAGAACTGACAAAAATTGTGAGTCAAAGCAAAAGCCTTGTTTCTTGCGGCTAAAGGAAAATCCAGAGATTATTCCACATAAACTCTCAAGATCCTTGGAATACCGAAATTGTTCCACATAATATGTCAAGGTCCTTTGACAACACAAAAAGAATCTAAATAAAAAGTAACCTTTGTTCATTCAATTTGATCGTTTAAATGTTAAATTAAGTCATTAAATTAAAATCGTATCCAGTTCATTTTGTAAACAATTTCAAAAGTCTGCTCTGCTTGATTTTTAATTAATTTTATTCACTTTTAATCGCACGACAATTACAATTACGAATTACAACAACAAATGGAGTCGGATTAATCGCGATATGGTTCAGATGGGATATGGCTTGTATAAAAGCTTAAACTTAGACAAAAGTACCTAGAGCTAGGCGTAATTTAATTGTTTAGGGTCTACTTAAGAACAACTAAAATACATTCAGTGGCATTCTATTTAACTCCTTCGCACGCCTTTGCTACTGCTACTACACGTAGTTCATGTTGGGCTGGACATGCTCAGGGATTGCATCGGCAGACACAGCACGAAGGAAACAGGAACCAATCCATAAAAATGCCCTTGCAATCGTTGTCCGGATCGTAGGCCAACAATCGATGCCATTTGTATTTCTGCTCGCAGCCGCATTCGCCCTCGCAGCGCGATGTTTGCGTATTGCTGGGGGAACGGATACATTACGGATTAGATACTACTCAAATGACAGCTCTATGGGCATATGCTACCTGCAAACCTCCTGGTGTATCGCCTGCTCGAAGTGCTGCGTGTTGACAATGGCGCGTATTTTGCCCGCCGAGTTCGAGGCCCAGTAGGGCGTCACAATCTCTATTTTCGACTCGCATGCATCGAGTCGCCCTGTGCCCGAGCTGCCGTTCGCATTGCCCGGCACATTGCTGGCCCGGCTGCCGGCGCCTGCTCCGCCTCCGGCGGCTCCACGGTTCCGGTTGTTGCCAGCTCCGCCCGCTGCCGCCTGCCGCTTCTTGCGCAACTCCCCGAAGTAGCTGTCGCCCGCCTCGCCCGCTGTTGCCGCATAGGCGCCGGGCGGTATAAATATGTCCGGCTCGTCTATGAATCGACGCTTGCGCACCTTCGCCTGACCCCCGCCCCCGCTGCCACCACCCTCCATGTTCATCTCAAAGTCGCCGTACATGCGGCGCATCAACGCCTTGTTGTCGTCTATGAAACGCTCGATTTTATCGCTAAACAAGAAGAAGAAGTTTTAGTTAATATAAAGTATAGAATAGATTAGATTAAAAGTCGATAATTATTAGTGATGATATATGCACCATCCAACCAAGATACTTTTTTTATATATTGAAAAAATGATTATCTTTAAGATACAATTTTTCGATTTGCATCACATATTTTATCCATTGGGCTTTAAACAGTTTTAAGCTAATGAGTTAGTTTGCGACTTAAACTTTTCCTTGAGCTAATTAAAAGACTAACTAAACATTGAAAAATACTGAACTCGATTCCAATTAAATAGAATGTTCCAAATTAGCAAGTCAAAATGAGATGTCAAATTGATTTCATCAAGACTCTGAATCATAATTTATGCCAAATATGTTAGCCAAGAAAAACCACAAACCAATTAAATTCTGTTACCGATTCGAGAGATACTCACATGGGATAGCTATTGCCGGCGGTGGGGCAAAAGAGCTGATGATAACGCTTGATGCAGGGCACGCCCTTGATCACATCGCCTCGAACATCCAGGCCGAGCGCCACCGACAGCGCCGTCCACCAGATCTAGAGAGGCGGGAGGGGCAGAGAGAGAGAGAGAGAGAAAGAGAGGGGGAATTGGCATTAGCATTGGGAATGTTCGACCTATTAAATGACTCAAGTTAAGACATAAAAGTTTCATTTAATATCATCATTCAGTCGAGTCGCGAGAAGGCATTTTTTTTTTTAGAGTATCGGAGAGTCGCTTGGTGCTGCGATTGGCATGATTATCAGCACACCTCTTGACGAAACGAACTCGCGCGACCTTCGTGCGCCAAAAACAACATAAAGAGAAGCACACACACACACAGATACACACACACACACTGTCAGAGATCGTCAAAGTTATTTCCGCAAATGAGCAAACTCGATCGATATACTTACTTGCTTGTTCCCAAAGCCGTAATCGCAAAACGTATTGGAAAACACGCGCGCGTGTCCGTTTTGGAGTCGTTTTTGTTTATTTATTTTTTATTTTTTTTTTCGATGGGGGTGTACTTACCGGAATCTGCAGAAATGAGCCATTATTTGATTTGGGATAGGAAAACAATGGAACGACCGGCACGCTGCCGTTCTTCAGGAAGATGGGGCCCTGTATGGGCGTTACGCTGGGCATCGGGCTCCTGTTCGATTTGTCTGCAAAAAAATGATGAAAAATATATAAATGCATACCAAATTGTAAATTAAAAACTGCAGTTGAGTCATACGAGGACAGTTTGGCTTTTGCTGCTGCATCGAAAGAAAAAAAAAACCCCCGAAGACATAAAATAAATTGCTGAAAATAAAAGTAATGTAAATAATTGCAATGCTGCATACAAATCGCACTGC